AAAAAAAACACTATGTATTATAACAAATTGCTAATAATCACCAATATATTTAAATCCTTTGTTTACAGTAACAGAAAATGAAGTAATGAAGTACTATCAACAGCACATTTCTTCAATAATGTTACAAACTAGAAATTGCTAGAAAACAATTTTTACAATTTAAGGTAATGTGTAGGTATAACTATGGTCTTTCAGTACTGTGCATCTTGAGAACCCAAAATCCTTCAAATAAATATAAACTATCTATTCTATTATTATGAATTAGTATTCTATTGTATCTGAAAATATCTCTTGGACATCAACCTTGTCTTTCTAGACTGATGTGTTTACTGGTTCTAGTAAGTCCAAATTTAACCCTTGGATAAGCAAGTTCTAATGAAATGTGAGAATCATAAAAATGCTCTAATCTGGGAATAACACCCATTAAAAAATGATTACTTCTCTTTACATTGATTATTATTAACTCAATTGTGTCTGAATTAAATTACCAAGTCTGTCCAAAAAAAGTGTCTGTACAAATCATCTGTAGTTGCATTTGATAATAATATTTGTGATTTGTGTTTATCTCAGGTCTATAGGCAGTTTTCTTGCAAATGTTCCTTGACAAAACTGCACTCTTTAATGATTGACCTTGGTCAGGGAAGACCCTCTTCATCTCGATTAGACCACCATCAACCTCCCCATCAGGTGAGGCTCCATGAAATGCATGGGTCTTGGAGATACTAAAGCCAGCCTTGTCTACTTTACATCCAATGTTACTCTGCTACATTTTAAGGATAATATCTTCATCTTTGAGGCCCCAAGTCAGTTTTGAAATCTAAAAGTTCTTTTCAATTCCTAATATCTCAGCAATTCCTTTCGTTGGACTTGTGGTGGGCTTTAATAAAGCCCACTTACATTTTGAGGCTGTTATTCTAACTTTTCTGTGGTAAAACCACCCTTGACTTTCACTCTGAGATTTTGTTGCCTCTTTTATTTTTTCTCTTTGTTCATCATCAACATACAATCTTCTCTTGATTTCTGATGCTCTGTCTAAAATGTCTTGCCTTGACAATGGTTGTTGGAGGAGAAAAAGTCTTCGAAATATCACTTGTTGTTGCAGACTTGGAGTCATTCTCTTCGGCCATCTTGAATCACCTGGCCCAAATGCCTCGCTTCCGTGCAATTTCATTGAGAGACCGCTGTTTAGCAGGCTCAACTCCGATATCTGCTATTGTTCCTCAAACACGCAAACAGCGGTAAATTAATGCGCATGCCCGTCACACACAAGTGACTTTTATTGTGCGAACAATTGTGAACAAAAATATTTCTGACAACGGAGCCATTTGGATGAATTTAAAACACCCTTAAAACAAATTTGAATCAATAAAAATGCTCTTTATTCTTCACACTTTGCGTAAGTACAAACTCTATCTAGTTCTCCACCTGGCCCCTGCAAATAACAGGCGAAAATAAATTGTAAAAACATGTTCTGTCCCTTCATCCATAAAATTCTTTGATGCTGGAAACCTAAATCACGTGTTAAACGCACAAAATCTGCCTGCCATAAAGTTATAAACATAGGAGTCCTAAGACTGACAACAGCTGAAGAAGAAATTACAATAGAGCAAACAAACATTGCACTACACCGAAGAGGAACTATATAGATACAAGGCACAGGAATCAGGACATACACAATATTTTGGGCCAAGAAAATGACAATATATATCACTCAACTTTCAATCATCGTTGTTTCTTTGACAGGTGGTTTCCTTCTAGTGAAACAAAAAAGTATATATTTCAGGAATGGATAGTTCACTTTAAACTAAAAACAAAACTGTAACAACAACTTCAACTTTGAGTGAAAAACTAATTGCAAAGCACCATAGGTTCCACCAAAAACAAAGAACCCCAAAACTTAAGACCTTGAAAAAAAATACCCTTATTTTCTTTCTTAAGTATTATCTTAATGGACTCTTATTTTCTTACAGTGTCCAACAGCTTACCGATGTGAAATAAACAAAAGAAATAACACAAGCAAAATTATGCTGCTCAATTCAACACTTTAACATTCCCTCCTTCCCTACACAATTTAGGGTAATAATTTACAACATTAGTTTAAAAAATTTTGTTTTCAATCGACTAATTAACCTATAATACTTATTGTTCTGAAATCTTTTCAATCATTTCTTTGAAATTCAATGAATATCAATTACATTATCATTGATTAAATACTTCTAATGCCTTAACACAAAATATCTTGTAAACGCAACATCCCTGTTGAGTTTTGAACAAGTCAACGACCACCAGAGGTAATGTGGAAACATATTCAACCCTTTGGAAACCTCTTCCACCCTGGCACAAATCACAAGAATTAAAGCATGAATTCTTAAAATTCTTATAATTCTTAAAAATTCTTAAAAAGAATTATAATTCTTAAAACATGTTGTGAATTATCATATAATTAAATTCACCGTGTGGTAAGCCACAATTATGTTCGATAATAACACCATCACTGACAACTTATTCCTATTATTTTCTTACAGAATATGTTGCATCTATCGAGCAAAGAGCAAACAATATAGAGGTAATGTGCTCATCATTTCAAGATTTAAGCATTTCCACCCCTCTCCTCCCTCCAGCACCTTGGGGATGGTAACTTACGATGTTACTTTGGAGAACTTTGTATTCAATCAACCAATTAGTCTGAAACACGTATAACAACTCATCATTAGAGACTTAAACCGTCCCACCCACCCCTCCTCTTCCCCCCTTCACTAACAGACTGTAATGTTGTTACTATGCATGACATAGCCTTATATGGCACCTTCCATACATGAAAGAGGAGTGCGAGAAAGCAGGAGATAAGGTCAGTTAATTAAAAAAAGGATTTGAGGTATCCTATCAACTGTTCGGTTCTTGTCCACCTGCGAACCTAATGGGAAGTCACACTGGTGTCAGGAGTAGGATTTTTTTTTTCACGATTCCAAGATGACCGACGAGGACGGAGAAAACTTTTTCAACACAGGCCGAACACACACCAAGCGAAGCTGTTGCATTGGAAACACCGCCGGACAGTTCAGACTCGACAATGGACGCTATAATGGAGGCTCTACAATCGATATCTAGCCAGAACAAAGGCATAGAACTTAAAATCAAGCAACAAGACCACAAGGCGGATGTAAGAGCAAAGGTAATCTCCAAGCGCCTCAAAAACCTTAGGAGCTCGCATAAACAACCAGGCAGCTCAAATGGAGTCTCAGCTCAAATTACATGGAGTTAAACTTGCAGCGAAAATAATGTTTTCCAGGAGGAATTCTCTAACAATGTGGCCTCCTTAAACGCCAAGCACACATCCTTCAAAGAAACCGTCAAAAAGGGGCTCCAGGAAACAAAAGAAAGGCTAGATTCGAAGCTAAATGTCGCATTACAAGCATTCGACGGGAAATTAAAGGAAGCACTCAACACAACAACAACAACATTGACTTTATTTTTTAAAATTACAGAAATAAAGGCCTTTGTAGCCCACAACTAGCAAAGCTATTCAAGGCGGGCTACCTAAACAGACACTGTATCGGCTCTCTCTCTCTCTCTCACACACACACACACATACATACATACACACACAACAATTAAATAAATAAATAAACGAGCGAATAAAAATAGATAATAAATAATAGTAGTGATAATCATGTTAAAGGTTTTAACTGAGCCAGTCACACAAGGGATTTTAAAGGGGTCAAAGAGAAAGCTAATCAGTTGAAATACAAATATAAGCTTGAAAGGTTAAGGTAGCGCAAGTCAACATTCATGTCCTCAATTTCAAGAATTTTCAAAAGCAGGTGGGTTAGCTTACGTTTAAAAGGTTCAGGGGGGATGCCATTCTATATTTTCGCACCAACTCTAGAAAAGGAAAGCAACTGATGATTTGTTCTCGCCTGTTTTATATAGACACAAAGAAACCTCTGCATGCTAAGGAGGAAACTTCGACTCCAGTGAAGCTACAAATAGCATCTCCCGCTAGTATCCTGACGCCCTTAACGTTTCCCGGTGTGGAGCCCGAACGAAAACGGCCGACACAAAAGCCACCTTCATTCGACGGGAAATCACAATGGGAGTCTTACATCGCAGAGTTTGAAATAGTGGCGGGAATGAATCAATGGAATGATGAACAGAAAGGAAATTATCTCACGACTAACCTTAAAGGATTTGTATTAACTGTCCTCGGAAATCTTGCAACAGAAACGAGACAAGACTACAGAGCATTAGTTGCAGCGCTCGAGAGTAGATTCGGAGCAGCACACCAGCAGGAACTTCACCACACTAAGTTTAAGAGCAGACTGAGGCGCCGTGAGAAATCACTCCAAGAGCTTGCTGAGGACCTAGAACGTTTGACAAGGCTAGCCTATCCTCTCGCTCCAGAAGATATGAAGGACCTGCTGGCTCAAGAACAGTTTAGTGACACCATCCTCGATGGGGATACCCTGCTGGGACTGAAACGGAGTAAGCCCCAGTCCCCTCCAGGCTGCTCTCGAACTGGCCATGGAGCTTGAGTCCTATCGACTTGCCTCTCGCCAAAGAGATCTTCATGTCTACAAGATGAGCGCTGCACCAATAGAAGAAACCCTAACTGTACCATTGGATGGCAAGATATCTCAACAAGAGGATGTACTAGCACAGGTTAAAGTGCTGCTTGAGGAAATAAGAACTATCAAAGGGAACATGCAATCATATTCTGGAACCTAGATGAGGGATCAGCTGTACTGGGCTTGTGGCAATAGGGGACACTTTAGACGTGAAAGTCAAAATTTTCGCCGGAATACCCCAAGAGACATGCAGCCACAAAAGTCCCAGCCTCCTTTTAACTAATCCAGGCTGGTCTCGATAGGTACGGCCAGCTGACCACCCAGATAATTTAACCACGCAAGTTGTGCTGACGACAGGAACATCGACCCACATCGAAGGACAACCGTGCCCCATGCTTGTTGACACAGGAGCAAACATTACGGTTGTTTGACCTGATGTGCTTACCAAGCAGTCACGTAATAGTGTGCAAGCCACGACCAGTGTCCTTAAAACTGCAATGGGAGAGTCCACTACAGTGCACGGGGAAACTATTGCTGAAGGTTAAAATTGGTGGTGCAGAGGTCTCACATGTAGACTTAGTTCCCAATATTTCAACCAAGTTTATACTTGGCCTTGACTTTCTTATGGCTTACGGTTGTTCTGTGGATACTGGACTGGGCAGCCTACGCATTGTAGCAAAGGAGATGCCTCTTCATAAGCCATTGGCTTTCCAAGTAGCGCGCTGCCACCAAGTGGTGGCTATGGAAGATACTGTTATCTCTCCTTACAGTGAAATACTGGTACCCACTAAAATTATAGGTGAGCCATATGGTGAACCCTTGGGGACAGTAGGGCCATCAGCTACCACCACACTCCCGCCCAGAGTTATGCTCAGAAAAACATTAGTGGATGCTCAGCGTGACTACATTCCAGGGCGGATGGTCAACCTAACTAATGAGCCAAGACAGATTGCCTCTGGTATAGAAGTGGCTACTTGTGAACCTGTAGGGAGCATAGTTTCCCCTAACAGTGACCCCCATCGCGAGCCTATTAGACCAGATGAGGGCCTACCAGAGCATCTCAAAGATCTCTACCTCCGAAGTGCTGGTGGGTTGACCACCGACCAACAGCATCAATATTGCACCCTTTTGCTCGAATTCCAAGACATCTTCTCTAGTGGNACCCTAGGGGACAGTAGGGCCATCAGCTACCACCACACTCCCGCCCAGAGTTATGCTCAGAAAAACATTAGTGGATGCTCAGCGTGACTACATTCCAGGGCGGATGGTCAACCTAACTAATGAGCCAAGACAGATTGCCTCTGGTATAGAAGTGGCTACTTGTGAACCTGTAGGGAGCATAGTTTCCCCTAACAGTGACCCCCATCGCGAGCCTATTAGACCAGATGAGGGCCTACCAGAGCATCTCAAAGATCTCTACCTCCGAAGTGCTGGTGGGTTAACCACCGACCAACAGCATCAAATTGTGCACCCTTTTGCTCGAATTCCAAGACATCTTCTCTAGTGGACCTCATGATCTCGGCCAGACAGGAGTTACAAACACAAAATCAGTACCAGTGATGCTTCCCCTGTACATCAATTTGCTAGGAGGCTGCCAATTGCATAACAGGAGGAGGCATTCAAAGCTGTTGGGGAGATGCATGCACAAGGCATAATTGAACCCTCGGCCAGCCCATGGGCTTGACCGGTGGTCCTGGTGAAGAAGAAGGATGGTGGTACCAGATTTTGCGTTGACTACTGCAAAATTAAACGAACTGACCTGGAACAACCTGTATCCTTTACCGCGGGCAAACATAACTCTCAATGCCTTATCTGGTTCAAGCTGGTTCTCCACCCTAGGTCTCAAAGGTGGGTACTGGCAAGTGGAGGTAGAAGAGCAGGACTGTGAGAAAACTGCCTTCACTGTAGGTAATGGGCTGTGGCAGTTCAATGTGATGGCTTACGGTCTATGTAACACACCCACGACTTTTGAGTGACTGATGGACAATATCCTTGGCGATCTGAGGGGTTTCGTCTACCTAGATGACATGATCGCATTCGCGAAAACCTTTGAACTGGAGCTACAATGTCTGACTCTCATCTTCTCATGGCTAAGGGCGGCCAACCTGAAGTTGAAATCAAAGAAGTGTGAACTATTCCAGTGCAGGTTCAAGTTCCTTGGCCATTTCGTAAGCGAGTAAGGGGTTGCCACAGACACTGAAAAAGTTGTGGTTGTCACAAACTGGTTAAAGCCGCAAAATGTCACAGATGTTAGAAGCCTTTTTGGACTATGCACTTACTGCCGGCCATTTGTAACCTCTTTTGCTGACGTTGCCCATCCTCCGCACCAACTGACTGAGCAAGACCAACCATTTACGTGGAGAAAGGAGTGCGATAGTTCATTTCATCACCTCAAAGAAGCCCTCACATCTGCTCCAGACTTGGCCTATCCGAGAGCGAGGAACCCTTTGTGTTAGACGTGGATGCCAGCAATGTTGGTATTGGTCCCTTTCTGTCTAGAGTCCACCAAGGGAATGGAAGAGTCAGTTTATTACAGCCAGGCACTAAGCAAACTAGAACGTAACTATTGCAAAACCAGGCGTGAACTTTTGGCTATTGTCAAAGCAATTGATCATTTCCACCCCTACCTCTATGGCAGAAGTTCACCATTAGACCCGACCACACATCTCTCCAGTGGCTACTAAACTTCAAGAATCCTGAGGGTCAGATACCAAGATGGGTGGACAAGCTGCAGACCTATGATTTTTGTATTGTGTACCGCAAAGGGAGAAACCACCAGAATGCTGATGTTTTGTCGTGTCGGCCATGCTTCGACACCAATTGCAAGCATTGTCAGAACCAAGAGGAAAAAGATGCGACAGAAAATGCGACCAGCATGCCAAATAATTGTGTGGTGAATGTTACACAAGTCCACATGTCTCAAGGCCCTCAATCTCAATTCACTAGCCCGCTAAAGGAGGGAAAGGGAGTAAAAGGCGTGGACCAACCTGAAGATGAACAGTTATCTCCACTGCAGTTGCGAACTCA